CGGGGGGCGGGCCCCGCCGCTCCTCTGGGGCGGGGCGAGGAGCGGAAGTCGTACGGTGTCACCTCCGGGGCTCGCTCGCTGCGTCTCATCGTTGGGACCGCGACAAGATGGCGGACCTGTCTCTGGACGAGCTCATACGGAAGCGCGGTGTGACGGTGAAGGGAAGGTGAGCGGTTGGGACGGCGAAGCAGCGCCTCGAGCCCGGCGGGCCCCGGCCGCTCTTCGTGTGTCCCCTCGGGTGGCTCCGCTCCACGGGCTGCGGGCCGCGGCTGCCTTGGCGCGGCCCGGCCCTGCTCCCGCCCTCGCGTTCCCATTGGCTGAGCCGCGGGGCTGCGGGGCCGCGCTGCGATGCGATTGGCGGCGGCGGCCGTCACTCAGGGCCGGGGCGGGGGTCGGGCCCCCATCTCGGCCCCAGTGCCTGGCGGTGCCCCGGTGGGGCAGGAACGCTCGCCGGCCCATCCCATCTCGGTCTTTACGGGATTCCTGGCGCCGTCTCTTGTCTCACTGAATCCTCCCAGTTGCCCTGTCCCCGCTGCCTCGTGCTTGTCCCCGCCGATTAACCCAGCCCTGCTCCCTGTAATGGGGTCGGCGGCCCTGAACCCCGTGGGTAACCGGGCTGCAGCTGGTCTCCCGGCAGTGCCACGGGGTGCCCGGTGCCGCCGCGCTCCCGGGAGCGGCTCGGTGCATTGTGGGAGAGCCGCGGGAGCGCTGGTGCTGCTCGGGGAGCCGTAACCGACCGGGGCCGCCGGGCACCCGCGCGGGTGCGGCTGTCGGGGCTTCGGCTGCACCGCTGCCCGGGCTTCGGAAGGTGTCGACCCTCTAGCGTAGTTAGTGGTGCTCTGACAGATTGTTTGAAGTAGTTGAGAAGAAGCGGAGCATGTTGCAGATAAGAGCTGTGAGGTCAGATTATTTCTTTGCATGGCAGATGTTTCCAGTGTAGGCTGGGCCATTTACTGCCACAGTTGGCAGTTCTTACCTGGATTCTCCTTCGGTAGCTTTTCGTTTTCCCTTTTGCCATAGTCTCATGGTTTTTAAGAACTTATTTGTTCCCCCCCATCTCTGTTAGCTCAGTGTGCTCTTGCTTTGTTGGGGATTTGTTGTTGTTGTTGTTATTGCCGGTTTTTTATTAATTTATTGGTTTTTGTTTTCAACTCTGAATGTGTATACACTTACACGTCTAGAGTAATATTCTGAAAGTTATCTGCTAATACATACTACCAAACATTCAAACATATTTAAATCCTAGTCTAGACAAGGCCTTGGCTTTGTGCTTTCATTCATGTTATCCTGCATATTTGGAAGAGTCTTAGGCTGCTTACTATGCCCTAAGTACCTCCTTTATCCCTTTTCAAATCTCTCCTTAACTCTCATTTCTTTCAGAAATTCTTTCTGCTTTTTATTTTGCTGAGCAAAATGAACTGAATCCCTCTGTAGCACTGTAAGAATTGTTGTGCCCTGCACTCCTCTTGTATGTCATGTTTACTTCACTTTATAAATTCCTGAGGTAGCAAACTTGGCTTTGTGAAGGCTGGATAAACTGAATAAACTTAAATCATTATATTGATGCAGTTCAGTAGTCTAGATGAAATAACAGGAAAATTTTCACCTATGTACTAATGTACTAAAATGTACTGATGCATAACATATTCAAGCCAGAGCTTGGAATCCTGGAAAGTGAATTAGATGTTTGAGCTTTTATTTCAGGTGCTGTGGCACAAATACCTAAGCAGTTAATGCTCTTGTAGGGTAAGCAATTGTCTGTGAAAGAGAGTTGCTTATTAGAATAAAGACAAATCTTCACAAATGATGTAATCTTCAGTACAGTTTCTTAACCTATTACATTGGAATTTGTCATCAGCAGCCTTAACTAATCGTAGTTTAAATGCTGGTATGTACATTGCTGGTTTTACTTTGACCTCTCTCAGGAGCCTCTCATCCAGCCCTTTACAGTGCTTCAGCTAAATGCTTTCAACATGGCTAAATAAATTTTTTTTAAAATTGCAAGGAAGGTCTTGCTCTGTGTCTGTTGCTTTATAGGTACTGTTAGTCTTCTGTATTCTGGGTATATTTTCATAGATGGTCATAATAATCCTCCTGTTTCTTCTAGCTGGCTTGCTTTTGCTGTATGAGAGAGCAGCCATAGGACTCTTAGATAGGTAATAAAATGGGACTCAAGTCCCAGCTTTCCTGACATCTGGACACAAGAATGAAAGCGACAGAAGCAGAGGCTAAGTCTTTCATCTCTTGGTTGGGGTTTTTTTTAAAGATCTCTCCACTGAAAACACATGACTGTAAATAATGTGGAGGTTGTGCAGTTAGATCAGGAGATATTGATGTAAAGGTGTATGAAGAATTGAAATTACATCCTCATTTGATACTGTGATACTAACCTTTTGAGTATTACAACAAATTCTAGATATCTACTCTTAGACTTTATAAAACTGGGCAACACATTTCTGAAAGCAGATGAACACTGTAGCCCTCTATTCTGACTTTTAAAAAGTCAACAGCAAGAATTTTTTTTCTTGCTCTTTCTACTTTTTTCCTTTTTTTTTTTTTTTTTTTTAATGCAAAGAAACCCAATAAAAAAAAAAACTTTAAAAATACTTATCAAAGGAACTCCATTAAAAAATAGATAAACTGGTTTTCTTCTTAGGGCAGTTTTTGAAAAAGTGTATCAGACCTGTAATAAGAAGGTAGTTCTAGCTTTCACCCTATATTATGCTGCTTTTTAGGAATACTTGTCTACAAGTACAAATACTGTAGTTTTAGAGGGCTGTTGTCTTTCTGTGCTCAGTATTGTGATAATGATGGGCTTAGAAAATAAATGCCATCAAGTGCAGTAGTTCTTGTAGTAGATTAAAGAAGAGGCAGTTATGTTAAAAAGTAATTTGACCAATGACTGTTCTTGAATCTAATCAACCTTGAAACTGGTGGCTTTGAACTTAGATTGTTACTGGTGCTTGTACATCCTAAAATTCAAGCTGCTGTGCTCCCACAAATCTGAACTTGCTGCCCAAAATTCTTGAAATCATGTGTAGTTCCATGTTTCCTTCGTATCAGGATGTATCACTGTATTACAGATGATGCTTTAGCAGACCTGTTCAGTTGTAAAGCTAGAAAGTCTGTTCTTGTTCCTCTTTGTCTTCAAAGGTTTCCCCAGATTTTGTTTAAATGTACTTAGTACAGCTGAAATCAGACCCTTTAGTTTGTAAATGTGAGCTTAAGGATGGAGTTTGTAAAGTTCCGTAGCTGTTTATACAGAAAGTAAAATCCAGCATAAAACAGCTTAGGAGCTCTACTGTTGTATTTCGACATCCAACCAGAGTGGATTTCTGCACAGTAATAATGAACTTTTGTTTGCAGAAACACAAATACTTCTATTGACACTGTATCACATCTTATAATTCCTGAAACTTTTTTCTTTTTTTTTTTTTTTTTTTTTTTTTCCTCCCAGACTTAACACAAGGCCGGTGTTTGGGGGTGTAAGATCTCGCATTGGGATCCAGCAAAACCTTCTGAATAGATCATCACCAGCTGTGAGCTTCCAGCGGACATTTGATGCCCGGCAGAAGATAGGACTCACTGACGCCCGGCACAAACTGGGGGTTAAAGATGCTCGAGAAAAACTGGTTCAAAAGGACGCTCGGTTCAAAATCAAAGGGAAGGTTCAGGATGCTCGAGAGATGTTGAATTCCCGTAAGCAGCAAAGTGTTGCTGCTGAAAAGGTGACCAAAGTGGTGGATGCCAGAGAGAAGATCAGCTTAAAAAGGAGCACTCCAGCTGTTATCAGCCCAGCTATGGGGACAGTAAATCCAGCCATGAAAATCACCAAAACTATCCAAGTAGGTGAAGTGAGTCACCTCTGAGCTTCTCAGTTACTCTACAGCAGTTCAGTAGACATGATAAGACAGTTCATAATATGTTCATATGGTTACAATAGAAGCAACAATGATACAGTTCATTCCAGCCTGTGGGGTAGGATTCTGATTCTTTTGTGTGTCCTTGCAGCTCTTTGGGACTTTCTGTAGAATCACACCTTGCATTTAAATTTTCATTTCAATTTTGGGCCCAAAAAGACTGAGGCAGAGCTCCTGTCAGCATTAAAGGAGACATCTTGAATGGTTAAGTAGTCTCTTTCCTACCTGAATGCAAACAAAATGATGCAGATTTTTTTTTGTTGTACTGCCCCTCTTTGCAAGTCTGATGCAGTGGATTGTCCTGTATAGATAACTGGTTTATCCTAGTGGTGGGATAACAGTTTAGAATATGCAGCTGTGTTTGTATCTAAGAAAATTTAAAATTCAATGAGCCATTCTACAGTTTTCTCTTTTTATACTTGTCTGGTTTTCAGGAAAGCCCTGACTTCCAGGGAGTTGCCTGATCACATGAAGCATTCCCGCTGAGGCTCAAGATTTATTTCAATTGTGTTATAATCACCCTGACCTGCTGGTTTCCTGGGCCAGTTTTCTGCTTTCACTTTGCAGCACAGCAACTTGATTCTTAGCTTCTCTGAGAAACAACTCCTGTTGAACTGTGTCTGTTAAGTACAATGGCTAGAATCAGAAGAGAAGATTGTTGTTCGAGTGGTTTTGCTCCTTACGTCTACAACCACATAACTGAGGTTCCTAACCTACCTCTTCCATTTTCATCCTCCCAAAAATGAGCATTGTGCTTACACATAGCAGTGTTCTATTGTCATCAGATTGAGAGCTTAAATGAGTCTGCTTTCTGTTCAGCTGTGGGTTTTGCTGAAGAACATCAAACATGTTTCTTCTGCAGATTAGCCTAGGAAGTTTCCCACTACTCTGCAGGTTTACTGCCAGGCTGATGTAAGAAAGAGAAAGGACTCCTGCGGCAGTAAGAGGGGCTAATCACAGAGCAGTAGAGCAGTCTGTTCAGCAGCCATTAATTAGGAGGGTGATTAGTACTCTTTGCTGTCCTTCTAAGCCAAATCACCAGCATCAGCCATGAGGAACAGACCATTTTCTACAAAGTTTCTAGGAATAAAAGTAGTTTCCAGAGACTTGGTGCAGTAGCTGTTTGTTCTAACCTGGTGTTTTGGGGGTTTTTTGTTACTTGGTTTGACCACTAGTATTTTCTATTTGTTAGACAACAAAGTGCAAGTGTCTTGGTTTAGGGCAAATTTGGGAGAAAACTTCAGAATGGGATTTTTTTAGAAAGTAAATTTAAACAGCTCTTTTTGCAACTGGTTTGGGAAAATATTTTAGTGGAGAAAAGTGGAAAAACTTTATTTAACAAGCAAAGTATCTACAAGCATAAAAAAAATGTACAGTATTAAACAATGAAACAGCTTGCTGTTTGAAGAGATGGCAAATTTAGAAAAGTCTTTTTTGTGGGGTGTAGCTTGGCTCACTCAGTCTCTTATCAGTCTTTCTAGTGCTGGAAAGTGCCGACACCCAGTTTTTGGTGGGCCACAGGTATGAGCTCTGGGTTTTCAGTCGAGAGTAGGTTTGAACAGATTTAAGAAAAAAGAAACAAAACACAGTCCAGGGAATTTTTCTGCCTCAGCTAGCTAAAAACTAACTAGAAACAAAGGAAAGCTCTGTCTTGCAGTCTGACTGCTGCAGGCAGCACAGTCCGGAGAAGCACGCAGGGGAGTGGGTGCTGTTTCTGAAAACAAACTGTGTGCTTCTTCTTTCCTCCCCTTTGCTCTCAAAACTAGTTTTAAAGGTGCAGAACTTAATATGTAGCGTAAACAGAACAGATGATTTGGGATACAAGCATCATAAAGTCCCCCCAGCACATTCCACCCCTTATCCCCATATCGTCAACTTATTACCAAAACTAATATATATTCTAACTCTACAAACACATGCATTATACATACATATATATGTACGTATACACACACGAGGACAGTGACATTTAGCAAACAGTGATATTTATGCATGGAAACATATATATTTATATATAGGATATTATGGCAATTCAGACTGTAGACAGAGCCTTGCACATGAGCAATTATCTAAAAATGTTTTAAAATACTTGTACTGAAATTACAGATTGTCCCTGACCCTCCTATCTTCCCAAATGTGGAAGTAGAATCAAACTAGTATATCTTGATCCAAGGTTCAGCACACGGCTCTAAATGTGCTGTCCTGAAGTCTTGTTTGTTATAGAGAAGGAAATATCTTTGGAGCCAAAAAATGACTGTAGGTCTGCTGCTGTTCCTGTAAGATAGGTATCCTTTTTTCTGAATTGATTAGCAAATTGAAACGTGAGGTGCTATGGTCTAAGTAGCAGTCTAGAGAACATGCAAATCTGAAGATTTTACTACCTGTGTAGACTATTTTTGTAAGAATATCTATTCTTTAGTGGACAGCTTCCAGCTTTTTCAGAAAGCAGAAGGACAACATTTTTAAGGGTGTTGTTGCATGATTTCAGTTATCAATTAGTACAGCTGCATTCCCTAGCTACTTCTGTGGTGGTTTCCCTGTTTCGTGGTATAATGGACTGCAGAAGAGGCAGATACACTACCCTGTGCATTATTTTATTCCAGCTCTAGTGCTAACGCTTCTCCTTTTGTTTGATGGAGATATGTATGTTTAGTTACCTGTAGCATGAAGGAAGAGATACTTATCCCATTTCTGACTTAGTCCATTCATGGTTTTGTATTGGCAGAAATGTAGAGCTAGTCGGTCCTGACAGGACTGAATTTATCTTCCCTTCCCAATAATCTTGGACTGAACCCTAAGTAATTTGATTCCTTTTCTTCCTGTGGCCTTAGATTTTAATTTAAGCGAAGCTGTCTCATGCTGACCATATCACAGGAAATACAGGTGTTACCTAAGAGCATATTGTGGTAATATATTTCAAAGCAGGAAGGTGAGTTTCATTTAAGTGATCTCAGGGTATTCAACTAAAGCTTTGATTTTCTGAAATGAGGACCTGATGGACTGTAGCACTTAATGCTTTGGTTCTTTATCTCTAACTGTAGCAGAAGGCCATTCCTGGACACTCTCATCCAGCAGTTCCTGGACACTCTCATCCAGCAGGAATGAGGATTAATGTGGTGAACAATCATACACATAAACAGGTGTGTACCTGCTCTGTACTTTGTTTGTTACCTTTGTCAAGGAAGAAAATCTGTCCATAAACATTGGCAGGTGCAAAGAAAACTCTTAAGTAGATTAGGAGAGTGGATGTGATTGTACATAGTCAAATGTGCTGCAGTGAGGTGGGAGAGGGTGATTTCCTGTGAAATCCCAGCTGTGGGCCACTGCTGGAATCCTGATAGGGAATGATGTTAATTAGCATTCTGATGTACTTCCAAAGTTCCCTTGGGCCTTATCAAGGAGATTTTGAGAAAGACCCTAGAGTACGGTCTTTCTGGAATCAGTTTTAAAGACCTTTGTCGTTGCCCGCATCCATTCAGCCACCTTACTACTTCGGGTGCTTTCAGAGAAAAATTGTAAGTTTTTATTACTTAAATTATTTTGTGTGTATACATGTAAAGTAATGCATGAAATACTGGAAAACTGGCATTCACAATATCATGTCAGGTGACTTTTTTGCCATGATTATAGTAACTTCAGCTATTTGTGTATCTTATCTTTATGCTGGCCTGCTACTCTGCTACCCTTACTTATCCCAGATGCTGTTGTTTAAGGAAGTGTCTTCGTTATTCTGACCTCATCACTGTAAAAGTGGAATCCATTTCATTTTGTCTCAAACTCAAGTCCATTGTCCTGATGCCTAGTGTTTTTCCCAGCTCTTTTATTTTCTCCACAATTCTCCTCTGTTCTCTGTCCATTTTTGGTTTGTTTTTTTTTTTTTTCCCCTTTATAGCATTTCTGTAACTGGAACAACTTCCCTGTTTGTAAACCAGAATCTTGCTGACTATGACAACCCACTGATTTTGCAAGCTCTTACTGCTAATACCTCCATTTTTCTTTACCTTTTTACTGAATCAATGGGAAGCTGTTTGCAGTTGTGATTTCTTATGTTCTGGGCACTGCTATATATGTCTAGACATTTTCTTCACGTTATTTAGAGTCAATGAAAAAACTGCTTGTGTAGTTGAGCAATACATGCTCAGTATTTTAAGGCAAGGCTGTGAGTGTTAAGTTGAACAGGAAAATTAATTATTCATTCAGTAATGCTCTTAGTGCAGTGTTTTCTAGGGCCAGATGGATATGTTCTGTATTAAGGAAAACAGGCTATTCAAAAGGAATGTTCAGTTTAGGTGTACTCAGGAGGAATTTGTTTAATTAAAAAAAAAAAAAAAACAAACCCCAAACAAACAAAAAAGAATCCACCACACACTCCCAAACTAATTAAAAAATCACATGCACAGGCTTCAGCTGCAAAGGTAGGAGGGTGTTAGAAGACATTGAGGCTTTATTCCATTAATGTAGCTTCAGCAGTCCTAATGAGGTCCAGGAGCAGAAGAATCTGTATGTAATTTCAGTATATCTAGGGAAACAGTTCTAGTGTGGTGTTTTTGGAATGATAGTTTTCATAGTGATGTTTTGACATGGACTTGTATATCTAGAACTAAAATCCAGTGTAATCATGTTCATTAGCTGAAGATGGTTGAAGGCAGGAGAAAACTACCTATTTTTGAAATGTCTCAATGAAATCTACCTGCATGTAAACTATTACCTTCTTCACTTCAGGGTCTGTATGACGCAGAAGATGATGATGAAAGCGTCTCTCCCCTTCCTAGCAAACAGATGAAAATCACCACCACAAACAGTTTCCTGCACAACTCAGTAAGAGATCATCTGAACAGTCCCCACCATGCCATGCTCACATTGCATGGACACAGAGGTTGTGTCTTTACAGGGCTTATGTTCTTTTAAAATCTGTAAATGATGCTTTCTCCTCAAATATTTGCTCTTCACCCCACCCTTCCTTTGTGCCAATGCTTCTACTGGTTTTTTTGGAACAGAGTTCTTTTAGGGTAACAGCCAGAATGTGTGCTTTCTGCCCTGCTGGCAGATTCCTGCATCCTGGCTCTTGACTTTCGTCTTGTTGAGGAAGGGCGCTGAACCTGTCTTGTTACTGTTTGAGTAAACCAGCAAGAGAAGCTTTCTGCTGCTTCTGGAGACTGGAAATCAAAGCAGGAAATCTCTTGCTGTGCAAAAATCTTAGTAGGCATCTTGTTGGGTAGGACTGTTGCTCTGGAGTAGATGGAATTTCAGTACAGACAAATGTAAGATCCTGCTTTTGGCACGTGATGACCCTCTGCAGCTTAAACTGAGAACTGACTGGCTAGAAAGCAGCGTTCTGGGAAGGAGCCTGGGGGTCCTCCTGTGTGATCTGCTAAGAATGAATGAGTCGTGCATCCTTCCAGCAACAAAGGCCAGCTGTACATGTAGTGAAACCGTAGCCAGCAAATCATGGAAGATAATTATTCCTCTTTGACATTTTGAGAATGCATCTGGAATTCTTTGCCTATCTCGAGGCTCTGCAATACAAGAAAGACATGGCTGGAACCAGTAAGCAGGGTGGTCAGAGGGCTGCACCATGTTATGCATGAGGAGTGGCTGTGAAGTCTGTAGTGAGATCCATCCACACTCACTGCTTGGAAAGGGCAAAGAGAGTGGACAGGACTGCCTGGAAAAGGCAAAGCCCAGATCCTTTTCAGGATAGACCATGGAGAAGACTAATAAAAGTGCTGCAGCAAAATAAATTCTCGTTGGTGAAATTATCACAGTATTGATCAGCATCTGGCACAGCGACCCAAAGAGGTTGTGCAGTCATCATTCTTGAATATTCAGTGCTTAGCTGGATAAGACCCTTGCCAACCTAATGTGTCTTTGAAGTTAGCCCTGGCATAGGTTTAGGCTAAGTTATTCTCTGGTTTCAGAAAAGCAAATTCATGTGGTTTTACCATCACGCAGGCACTGTAGTGCAGTGATTACCCCAGGAATTTATTTCCTCATGTAGGTATTCAGAATAGAGCTTCAGGCTATTTGTGATTCTCAAATAATCTTATGAGGGTTTTTTGAGGAGTAAATTTGTTCTTTGCAGTGTTCACAGCAGCTTCCAAGCACAAGTTTTAGTCTGGCTTTAAACTCACATATTTCAGCCTAAGTTCCATGTCTTTGTGTGCCCTAACTTGGTGATTGTGAGGAATTACTGCTTTTTGTTCTGGGGCTTCTCCATCTTACTGTTAATGAGCAATCTTTGTGAACACTTTGTAAAGTACTTGAAAATCTTCAGATGAAAGGAGCTTTTCAAATTCAGATTACATTGTTAAAGTTTATTTAAGAAAAGTATGAAACTAAAAAGTGCCTATGAGAGAAGCACTCTTTCTGGATAAACATACCTTTTTATGTTAAACTTTTCACTTATTTTTTTCTCAGAGACTTTTGAAAGTCTCCAGCACTGTAGTGGTTTTGACACTGGGAAGGGCATGCTTTTCTTAGTGCATACTAGTAATACTCTGGTGGTGGTGCTTGAAGAAATGTGATGGCTTTTGTAGGCTGCAGCTCTGAGATACTTCCTTTTTTCTTCCTGTAGACTGGTCTGAGCAGCAATAAATTCTCTCTGTCCAAGACTGTTCCCCTGACTAAAGTGGTCCAGAACGATACATACACAGCTCCACCTGCACCTCCCCCTCCTATGCGGACAAAGGCCTTGACAAACATGTCCCGGACCTTAGTGACAAAGGAAGAGCCTCCGAAAGAGCCAGCACCTGTTGAGGTGAGCTCAGGGAAGGGGAAAATGCAGTTTATAGAAGTCTCTGAAACATCTGAAACTTGCTGTTCATTGGACATTTGAGCAGCCTATTTCTGCCTGCCTTGCACCATTTTTTCTGGGACATCATCAAGGTTATTCTGATAACTGCAGTCCATGTCCCAAGAATTTGAAACTAGTCTAAACATCCTTTCCCTGCACATGGTCCTGGAGGAATCTATATTACGGGGAGATGGCAGTTGTTGTTTGGACACTTCTTGGTGCCCTTCATGTCCCCAGGAGTAGTGTTTTAACACTATTTGATAGGTTGTATGTTGACTGCAGGTAGCAAGGAGAAAAATGAGTTCTTCCAAAGGTACACATTCTCATGTACACATGAGACCTCCCAGGCAATTTGTAGACAGCCTACCTGGAATTGCTTTGCCAAACTGCCTGATGTTGGGTACAAGTAGCCCACTATGTGTTCCTAGGTGTGTTGAGTTTAGCATGCTCCTGAGAGGCTGGAGCTGTATTTTGGGGTTTTCTTGCTGGTGTAGAGTACAACAGAGACAGGCTGTTAAAAGTGTGGGCATGACCAGAGAGTACTGGGTATGCAGATTAAGTTAGTGTTGTTCTTGGGAATAAGAGTGGAAAAGTTCCTTCAGAGAGAAACTAGCATGGAAAAGGAGCTCTTTTTTGCCATCAGAAGAGCTGGGCTTCAGTAAACATTGATATTTCCCATTACTAGCTGTAGCTCTCTCCTTTGTGTGTTTGTACAGAAATTTCCAGACATACCCTTAGTGACTTTTTATTGCTTTCTCTGCTGTGCTATATTGTGTGCTGTATTTCTGACCTTTTCCATGTGATGCATTTGTTTGTGTTGGCAGCTGGCATTCAGTCCTTTGGAAGGCACAAAGATGACCGTAAATAATCTGCATCCTCGAGTTACAGAAGAAGATATTGTTGTGAGTATTGCTCGCTGCCAGACTGTGCATGAGTGACACTTCCTTTCCTTATTCTTCCTCTTTTGATAAATCACTTGATCTATGCAGTGAAGAGGGGTGTGATGTGGGTCTACTGTCTGTGCAAAAACTTCCAGGGTTCCTGATTGATTGGGGTTTGTTTACACTTTTTTTTAAAAAAAACACGTACTTAAGAACATGGGACAAAATACCACAGAGTATATTGAGATACCTGACATCACTTAGAAGAAGAGTTCATGCCAAGTGATTCTTCTACCCAAACTTATGCCCCCGTCCAAATTATCTAGGGGCTTCCATTCTCACCGGGCTGAGCATGAATCTGGTCTTCCCGTGTGAAAAACATTATTGGGTACTGGCCCTAAACTTCCTTGCTTGTGTAGTCTCTGCTAATGGTGCCAAGTACTTACACCATAACAAACGCGGTAAGAAAAGTGTCCAGATCCTATCAGGTATTTAATAAGCAGGATGGGTGTTGTGATGAAGTGAATAAACCCTTCTCATGGCCTTTGGTGTGACCATGGACTGACTCTCTGCCCTCAGGAGTTATTCTGTGTGTGTGGCGCTCTGAAGCGAGCCAGGCTGGTGCACCCTGGAGTGGCTGAGGTAGTATTTGTGAAGAAAGAAGATGCTATCACAGCATATAAGAAATACAACAACAGGTGCTTAGATGGTAAGTTTGATGCCAGAGTTGCATGTATGATAAATAAATCAAGAATGACTTGATCACCTGACTGGAAGGTTTAAAAGCATCTTAGATGCTAATATGCTGGCAAGTGAGAAATACCAGAAAATCATTTCAAGAGCTAGATTAAGATACTAATTGCTGTGTAACTAGCTGAATATATGCACAGATTATTTAAATGAAATAAAAAGCCCACCCGCATTTTCCTAGAAAATGAAGGTTCAGAGCTGGAGGCAGGGTCCTGATCGGTCTGAGTCTGGTCTAACTTTCAAATGAAATTTCTTGTGTTTGTAATTTGGTATTAAGAGCTGGGTAGTCCTTAGGAAGGCTTTACCTGCTTACAGAGCTGCTTGCAAAGTACAAGTAAAACTAGTATTTGCAATAGTTCCAGGGTGTACTCAGAGACCTTTTGAACTGGATTTGTAAAACAGTATCAGATTCTCCATAAACTTTCAGTAATGCAATTTTATTTTTTTTAACCATGTTAAACTGAAATTATTGTTGAACTGTTAATTTTTAGCTGGAAATAGGTGTTTTTTCTTTCTTTAGATGAGTGACATGTTATGGAAGTCAGATGAGGAGCAGACAGCTAAGACTGGGAGATCCTCTTGTGTCTCTGCTAAGGGCTTTATACTTCAGTGCAACTTGTTAATTAGTATGATTCTTCATACAGTACTGACTGTTTCAGTGGGTCTTCTGTTGCTCTGATTCTGCAACAAGAGATTTATCAGCTGTTTTTTCTCATGTTTCCCCAGCTTGTAGAACGCTATTGCTTGCACTGTTGTGTGATGTTTCAAGGATCTTGCCTTACACCAATTCTGATAGAATGTTTTGTATTTTGGTTTTATTTAGGTCAACCAATGAAATGCAATCTTCATATGAATGGGAATGTCATCACCTCAGACCAGCCTATATTGCTGTAAGTGTCCTTCAGTGGGGAAAAGGTCCAAACGCTTTTGCAGGTTCTATTTTGAGAATTGTTGTCCCATGAATTTTCTTTCTCTCCCCTTCTGTGGTACAATATGATGAGTGGAGTGCAACATAGCTTGACTACCTAGTGTTCTCAGCCCTGAGGCACAAAAATAGTCTGAAATGAGGACGTTTTCTTGTGAGAAAAGCATATTTAGAACCTTTATCTCTGATATTGGTAAGGGGCAAATACTGGTAATAGTAAATACAGACACAGTGTTAAAAGTTATTTATCATAAGGAGAGGTTAAATACTGCCTTTTGTAGTAATTTTTTTTTTAATTCTCCAGCCGACTGAGTGATACCCCTTCAGTGAAGAAGGAAGGGGAACCACGCCGGTCAAGTGCAAGCGCCTCCTCAAATCCCCCAGCTGAAGTGGACCCTGAAACTATCTTGAAGGCACTCTTTAAATCCTCAGGGGTCTCTGCCTCTGTGCAGCCCACAGAATTCAAAATTAAACTCTGAGAGGGGGGAGCAAGCAGTGGACTGGAAAACTCATATAAGTTGGGGGATGAGGAAAGTGCAGGAGTGCAGATGTTATTTGCATTTGCCTATCCTGAAATTTTTTGTTTTCTATGATCGCTACCTTACTGTACAATAGTGTTTTCTCTTGTGTGTGTACTTTCTGTTTTCATAGTTGGAGTTTTCTTCCATGATTTTTTTTCCCAAGAAAATAACCTCCCCCTTCTGCCAGTAATGTATTACCAAGCATATACCATGTAACTCCATCCTTTACTCCAAAGCCCCCGGTGGCCATTAAAGGTGCACATAGACTTCGAGGGAAGGAGTGGTGATCTCCTTCTCTTTTTTTCTGACTGACCTTTAACTAAAAGGTGCATCTCCTTGATTGTCCACAGGCAAGAGCACCACGTTGTTTCTGAAGTTGCTGCGCTGGGTGCACAGGCAGGTTGGGCTCCATCCAGAAAGGACTTGTATGCATTTGGTGGCATAACTCTTCCTTCTGGCTGTTGGACACTTTCCTGCTCAGCAGTTGGGACACTGAGACGAAGCAGGAAAAGCTGAGCTGCCAGCAGTGTGTGCCAACAGAGGCATCAGGCAGAAAGGACATATGCACAAGTGCACCAGACATTGTGCTATGGGCAGGGGTGTTTCAACTCTGGTAGTGCTGGAGGGTTGTTCTGGCACTTGTATAAGGAATATTTGTACTCTGGAGGGTCAGGCTCAGTTGCTCTCCTCTTTCTGGACTGAAAAATTAAGAACCAGTCATGCTCAGAGGTAGAAGAAACCCAGCTGTTTGACTCCCATTAGACTAAATTGCCTCCTGCTGCTGATGCATGGACATGAGTTTCTTTCTTGCCTTCTAACTCAGCCAGTCTCCTATAAAATGGAAGGACCTGGGAGCCTTTTCAGATCCTAATATACACAAAGTTTTGTGTCTGAGAACTCGTTTCTTTGAGAGATGCTATTTGGGCATTGTTTGGCTGCTGTGCAGTTATGCTGCTGGCATGCCTGGATTTGGAGGATGATTCCTGCAGTGTGTGGCTTCAGGGAGAGGTTTAGGAGCAGAGGGCAGTTAGTGCTGTGTAAGGAGCACAGGAGAAGAGCGTCAAGTCCGGTGCAGGGCGGCGAGGACGTGGCGTGGGCCAGCGAGTGTGTGTGACAGGCCACTAGGTGGCACTTCCAGTACTTCTCATTGTTTGTCCTGCATTGGCGCCTTGGATGTTCAAAGTCCCAGTGGGTCCACTCGTTTGTGTTTGTTCAAATCGTATTGGAAGAGACGAAAGCTGAGAGCAACTTCCAGAATCTGGTTGGGGTTTGAACTTGATCCTACTAGGTGGGAGACTAACCTAATCCATTTTGTTCAGCTCGCTGAGTAGCTTCTGTAAGTTCAGACTCCGTTTCTTGGACAACCCCATGTTTCTTTTGCTTTCTTGTTCTGTAAGAACTCTTTCTTCTATCTAGCTTGTGCAGACCATTCCTCTATCTCACTGTATCCCTTTTAGCCATGGAAATAATAAGGACTTGGCAGGACTTGTTTTTCTGGAGTACTCTTTGGTTTGAAGGCCAGTGACGCCATGATTGGTAGGGTGCTTCATGTGAACAGCAGATGTTTGTAGGGGAGAGGACCTAAGACAGCTATTGTTCTCCTTTTTTAGATTGCCCACCAAATACCTGTGTTTTAATAAAAAAAAAAGTGGGGGGGAGGAGGAGGAAACATTAGGGGTTGGAGAAGATAATGTATTACCTGTTTCTGAATAAACGTTTGTTATACAGAGTGGATTCTAAGCCTTTTTAGATGATGTGAAGCAACTAAAATTAAGTGGTAATATTCCAATATTGAGTCAATCGTGCTTTCTAGGTGAACATAGAAATTTCAAAACTGATAATGTGATGAAGAGCAAGAGGAGCTTATGGGTGAGAGAACTGTTACTCCTCCACCTTTTAATCTGGATCATAGAAATTAGCAGCTGACTCTTGCTACTAAATTGAAGCCATTTGTGTCCATGTAATTCAAATTCTCTTTTTACAGGAAAAAAAAAAGCGGCCTTTGTTACTGACAACGTAGTAATTTAAAAAGTAATTTTATAGCAAAAACGGCTCTGAAATCAGGGTACCTGTTCTAAGTGAGGTGGGATACTTTCATTACCAGGTAGACAGAAAGCTGTGTAAATGTGAAGACACGTATTGCGAGTGCATCTCTCGCCTCTTCTGAAAGAATGGGGAGACTCAAGGATCTTGTAAATTAATAGATTCATGTCCTTTGGAGAAGCCAAATAGCAAGATGCATTTTAACTTACTGTTAAATTCTGCATTATGTTTAGGTTATCTCAGAGTTTTGATGGCATTGATGTACTTCCTTGGAAGAACTACTTTTTGCTCTGTTCCATAGCTCTGTTGTCTATGGCAGCATATTCTTACTTTTTACAAATTGGTGAATGAAGTGGTTGTCCAAACACCACTCCATGGCTTGTCTTAGAGCAGTGTCTTGGTGTACACTGGTATTCTGGTCTTGGTCAGCTCTTTAATGCACCATTGCATGGCTTCTTAATCAAAAGTGTTTATTGCCAGTCCTTTTCAGGTAGTTCACCTTGGCTCTCCAGTTTCTTATGGACATCCTGCAATTGTCATGCTAATCATGATTTCGAACCTACCACCTTCTGTCTACATTTATCCTCATGCAACATGGTTATATCTTTGTGTTTGGGTTTTGTTTTTTTTTTCCTTCTGGTCTGATAGAATTTACGAACTTCCATATGAAATACTAATGGTCTGCACTCTGAATTAATGTGCATTAATTTAGACATTAAATTGCCTGGCCGGGACAGGTGGTAGGTTATTTGTAACGGTGTTTATTTTGTTTGTTTTGGGTTTCTTTTATTTCAAAAATGTGAGGACTTTTGAAATGCTGCCACAATGTGCAAGTTTGGTGTGTTTTCATGGCTTTTGCATGTACCTTCCAATAATGTTCATTAACTTGATATTTGGTTGGATCAACCCTCCATATCATGTCATATTTTGTCACCTCCTACATTAATCTCGCTTCAGTATTTTTGAAATGGTCCTGTCTTCCATTACGAATTTGTCTGTAAAGGTTTTTTTGTTGTTTTTTTTTTTTTTAATTAACAACAGTCTTTAAAAGCAATTGCCTTTGAATGTTTCTACATCTCTTTAAGATCTACTTGCCTCTCTCAGATTAAGGACAGTGCCTGAGTTTTACACTGTTTTTACAAAAACATAAACTCAACCCCGGGGCTGCGGCGAATCCCCTGCTGCCGCCATTATCAGGGCCGCGCGGCGCCCGGGGAACTACAATTCCCGGCAGCCCCCGCGCCGCCGCGCACAGAGAAGATGGCGGCCGCCACGGGGCGTGCGGCGGGCGCAGTGCCGGCGGGATACACGGGTGAGGGGCAGCGCGGGGTACCGGGAGCGGCGCCGGCGGGATACACGGGTGAGGGGCAGCGCGGGGTACCGGGAGCGGCGCCGGCGGGATACACGGGTGAGGGGCAGCGCGGGGAACGGGGCCGGGGCGGCAGCGGCGTCTCAGAGCGGTGCGTCCCTCGCAGCTCTGGCGGTGAAGTTCGCGGAGCGGCAGCGCTCGCCGCACTGCCTGTTGGTGAAGGAGCACCAGGTGCGGGAAGGGGCCGACACTGCGCACCCGCCTCGCCGGACGCTCTTCGTCCTCAACGTGCCCCCGTACTGCGGCCCGGTGAGTGGGGGCGGCTGGAGGCCGAGGACAGGGCCTTGCGGGCCCGGGAGCCGGCGTGCCTCGGGGCTGATACGGGCGGAGGGCCGGGCTAGGGCCCGGGGAGCTGCCCGGAGAGCTCTGCAGGCTGTTTGAGGGAGGCATCGCTCCTGCTTTACTGTGTGTTTTCGTGTTAAGGACGCTCTGTCTAGGCTGTTCTCTCGCTGCGGGCATGTGCAGTCTGTGGACATGTGTGACAAGCCAGGTCCAGGAGAGAAAAAAGATAAACTGACGTCCAAATTCTTCGATCACAAAACTCCGAAGGTAAAGCTTGGACAGGGGAGTGGAATACTGATGCTTTAGTGGGAAAAGATGGCAAATACTGAATGGTTCTCTTCAGAACATGAGGCATGGGAAACCGTATGGGACATTGGGTGACATGATTACTTACTTAAATTGACACTGTCTTTTTTTTGCTATCCTACTGCCCCTTGTGGTTTGACTTTTATTTTATTTTTTAAGTTATTTGTACTGCAGTTGCTTGCTCTATCACCAGTGTCTCTAACATATCTGACTCACCTGGGTGTTTCTTTTCTTCTAGGGATTTCAAGTAGCATACGTGGTGTTCAGGAAAGCAGCAGCTGTCCAGGCAGCCAAGGCTCTATCAAAGGAAGGTCCCTTGCTAATATCAACAAAGAGCCACCCTGTGAAAACCGGCATTAGCAGTATGTCAGCTCTAGCTATCTTTCCATGGGCCAATGCCAGGGAAGAACTATACTTGTTGTTTGCTGAATTCTACCGTGCATGTCCCATTTTGTCCTAAGCTGAGGAATGTTCAGTGTTTTGTGTGCTTTTATTATTTACATGGTAGCAATTTTATTGAACCAGGTATTGAAGTCTGGACCGGTGACCCTATGGGGTCACCCACCTGAGAGTGGGGACACTTGGAAGGGTCCTTTTTCCTGACATCTTTTCAGTATTGCATAGATTCAGAGATACTGTCTGCATCTTGTCCTCAAAATGGAGACCAGACTCATGCAGCAGGCACCGGATGTCTGTCAAGTTGACAGCACTTCACATATAACCCCTTGACAGAAGCACAGCCCTGAATGTTGTGCCCCTGGCCTTATAAGGCTAGCCCACTTCTGCTTGGGCAAGTTGCAAACTCTTCCCATCGCGTATTGGTTGTTCTCGCAGCCAAGTTGGTTTGAGCTGTGGTGGAGGGAAGCTGAACATAAATGGGAACAACATGTCCTTCCCCCACTCTAGAGTTCACTCTAGAGCTGCCCAAAAGTACCACACTAGCCTGCTTCTAACAGCAGCTACTGCTGACTTGTGCCCTCTCTCTCCCAGAGTGGATCGCCAGCTATGAGGCCTCCATCGTGAATCCGAAGGAGCTGAAGGCTGAGGTGGATGCCTACATGCAAGACTATGATAAAAAGATGGCAGAGGTGAGGCCAGGCTAGGGAGGGAACCAAGCTAAGCAGTTTTCTTGGGGCAGAGGGAAAGAAGAGAGATTTCTCAGTGCTCTGGCCATATTGGGAAGGGCTGAGGATCCCTCTCTTTGGCAGAGGTTTTTTACTCCCAGTTGCTGGTGGTTTGGTCTGCAACACCTGACCCTTCCCCTAGGGCTTACAATGGATATCCCCAAATAAATTGGTTTGTGGCTGACATGCAATGTGACTGAGAGTTATGGAGGACTGAGAATGCCTGTAGTCCTGATCCCGTGGCTTCCTTTAAATCTCGTGTGGAAGCAGGAGCTGTAACTTTGCCTTTGTTTAAAGGAGGGCTGTGGGGGAGTTGTGCATTAGGCTGTACATCTGCACTGGGCTGCCTCACTGTCCTGACATTACAGGAAGAAGCCAAAGCAGCCAAGGAGGAGGGTGTTCCAGATGAGGAGGGCTGGGTGAAAGTGACCCGGAAGGGCCGGAAGCCTGGCCTGCCCTGGACAGAGGCTGCCAACCTGCGCGTGCTGGAGAAGGAGAAACAGAAAAGGGCCCGCAAAGAGCTGCTCAATTTCTATGCCTGGCAGCACCGCGAGACCAAGAGAGAGCGTGAGTGTGCAAGTCTCTTCCTACCCCTGCCCGTGTCTCTTGTGTCACGCTGTGGCCCGAAGAGCATCCTTCTGCCTTCAGGGGAGGCTACGTCCAGCTGCCAGTAAGCAATTGGCTGGCTGGATCTGAACGGCCTCTTGCCACCACCTGTCCTAGCAAGGGCTGATGGAATATTTTGTGGGAGGGTGTGTAGGTTGTGATTTTCCAAGAGGTGCTTATTCAGTCTGCACAAAGGCTGTGATTGAAGGGGGAAACTAGCCAATTCCTCCCCAAGAGGGAGCTGCAGCACCGCCAGAGATGAACGGCTGGAGCCCCAGCTTGGCACTCAGCCGAGGTGTAAAAGGACTCCCTCTGGAAAGTGTGTGTTTGTGGCTGTTGGGACTGAGCCCCTCTGGTATGTGGAAGTGAAGCTCCCAGTAGAGGGAGGTCTGCTGCTCTCATGTGACCTGTTCTTTCTTTGTGTTTTAGACATTGCCCAGTTAAGGAAGAAATTTGAGGAGGACAAGCAGAGGATTGCACTGATGCGAGCCCAGCGCAAGTTTCGGCCATACTAGGTTGTGCTGAGCTGTTCTTCAGGTGCCTGCGCTGGGTAGGAGAGATCCCTACTGACTCCATTTGCCAAAGGATTTTGGGGAATTGAGGCAGCTTTGGATTGCCTTTGCCTTTACCTTTGGATCTGAAATGGGAGATCCCAGCAACTGCTGCTGGAGGAGAGTTCCCTTTATTTGCACCGGTATCCTGCTCTTCTGTCATTCAGCTCCATGGCAGCACTTCTCAGGATGCTCAGGTCAAGGGGCTGAGGCACATCCTGTGACAACCTGTATCTCCCTGCCACCCAAAAACACACCTCCTAAAGCTTGGTGAGAACTGGGATTGACCTAGTGCAGCCTCTGCAGGGGCAGGGAATGGCTGAAGAACTGTAAATAAACTGCTGCTGCTGTTTTCAGAACATGGGAATGCTTCTCTCTTCCCCCCGCTCTCCTGTGGGAAACGGCTTCTTGTGTGCTGGGGTGGTGGTAAAAATTATGGCTTGTAACCTAATGCTCCTTTGCACATTTTATTGAAGGAACGAGGAGGAAAGCAACTTTAGGAAAAAACTAACTTTGACCTGTTGTCACAAGGAAAGATCAGTGGTTTGGTACAGAGCTCTACCCCTTATCTTGGTGATTCCCTCCCTGGCCAAGTATTGTGGTGCCCAGTCATCCAGCTGTGTGCATGGAGTCTGCAGCTATGTCTAGGCCATGGGAAATTCCTGATACCCAGAACTGTTGCAAGAACAAATGCCACTTTGAGCAGCCTGGTTTGGAAAGAAACTTAGACTCTCCACGCCCTGTTTCCACTTAACCTGTCCCCAGCCCACAGAAGGCAGGTAAGGATGGCAGCAGGCATGTTTAGGTGTGGGGCAGTGCTTTTGTACTGCTCCTATAGCATTTGTGCACCTTTGGAAGTAACTGGTAGCTCTGTGATCAAAGTAACCCACCCAGCCCCAGGCTTTTAAACTTTTATTTTACTACCTATAACTTCATTAGAGATGCGACCATAAATGTAAGGTAGAAGTGGTGGTAAATTCCAGAGAGCTGAGATAAAATGGATTTACCCTCTCCTAAAAAACCAACTGCACATACAGTTTGCATCAATGTAACTGGGAGGCAGATCCTTGGTAGGGTTTACCTAAGGCACACAGTGTGTAAAAATTGCTGCCTCCCAAGATGCACTTCAGCTGCTTGGGTGAATGGCCTGAACGGAGGTTTGTTCTTCTGTAGTGTCAAGAAGACATACTTAACATTAGAACATTAATCTTTATTTAGAACAGAAATCATCTCTGCCAACTTTTCCATAATTTGTAGTTCTCACAGCTGCTTCAGCTAGAGGATAGGGACATTCTCTAGCATTGATTAAAATGGCCTTCTCTGCACAGGTGAGCTCTTATTTAAGCTGATTTTTAAAAAAACCAGTAGCTCTCACAGTGGAACAGAGACACTGAGGCCCTCTGAGCTCATGCATCTATGGAAGTAAGAAGAGAAGCAGAACACTTTCCTTGTTTTTCAGCAGGTTAAATCCTAGGAGCAGCCTGTCTGCACCATCCACAGGGAGGAGGCAAGATGAGTCACCTCTCTTGAAGTGCCAAAGCTGCTGCTGCTGTCACAGAGGATGCCTCTGCCTGCGTTTGCTCCATTTCAGGGTGCAAGTTTGGAGTAAGCCAAGGGGAAGGCCACTCCGGGCCTCTATCCCTGTACTCACAGAGCTGGAAGTAGAGCAAGGATTCCTTCTCCCTTTGGCATATGAGGTACTTTGCTCAGCTCTCCTTCAGAGAACCCCTGGCAGACCTGCTTCCACCCTGCAGTGAGCTAAGCATAGGAAAGATTATCACAATCTGATGTTGGATGCGAGGTAGGAATGGTGATAAATCTGGAGCTTGCTTGTTTGCTCCCAATTCTCCTGGACTGCTGCAGTTGTGAGGGCTTCCTAAAGTCTGGCCCTGGTGTTCTGTGATGTCAGGAAGTTGCTGATGATCCCAGATACCATCTTGGGCTCGTTCAGGTGCACAAAATGACTTCCAGGCACTTCTGCTAACTGGATGTGCTGGAGGGAAAGGACACAACATGTGGACCAGGAAAGTGTTCCCTCAGGTACACACTGCTTGCTTTACAACACTCGTGGGAAGGGACAGGGCAAGTGAGGCAGGACAGAGATGGGAGAACCAGGGAAGAGCTGGGTCCAGAGGGCAGTACTTACTTGGGACTTAGGCAGCAAGGACAAAGTTGTTTTCCTCCCCCCATTTCATCCCTCTCCACCCCATGTGAGGGCTGTGATGTTCAAGACAAATCACCCAGTGGATGGTGCCCACCAAGGTCAGCTGCTTCCCAGCTGCTGTTCTCAGGCTGGTGGCAAATCAAGATGCAAGGATGAAGTTTGCTCTCACCTCTTTGAGGGTAGATTCAAATGCCTCCTGCAGAGCTTTCACAAAGTGATTTCTGCTGGGTAGGTTGTGTGGTACCAAGAGTCCATGTTGTGATCTGAAAAACAACAGTGAGGCTCAGTACAGCACCCAGTGTGCCTCCATTTGTCTTTGTGGCTGTCCTGGGCAGAAGCGGTGTCCACAAGACAGTAGGGTGACAGACCCAACTGCTCTTTCCAGGCTGCTGCTAAAAGGTGGGTGGCAGGGTCATACGTGGTAGTCAGAATGCACCACACAGCTTGGCTAAGCAGCTATTTTCTATCAGACTCTGTAAAACCTTGGGCGAGTGCCTAGTGGTATCAGAGTGGAGACTGGCTAAATATTGTCCTCCCTGGGCTGGCTCTGTAACTGGTCTGAGAACATCATTCCCTGTCCTGTTCTGCTTAGTGCTCTTTACTTTTTCCTTCCTTAGAGTTTCCATATCTCCCTTCAGTCCCTTCTGCCTCTCTTTGCTGCTTATTTAACCAGGTTATGTCCTGCTCGGAGAGGGAGCTACCAGAGCAGTTGCCCTGAAGTCAGCATTAGATCTCCCGCAGAGCTGATGATGCTGTCTCCTACTGTGCTGGTGATGGGACAAGGGGACATCCCAGGCTCAAAGGCATTTCTATGGCCCAGAGGACTTGACCTCATCACAATGTTACATTTCTGGACAAGCAGGAATAACCTGAACCTCTTATGATACTAAAACAGGTCAGGGAAGCCAAAACTGCACCTCATTTCTCAACTCCTAGCACTTCCTTCTGTTTTCTAGACAATCTTTTAACAGCACCCCACCAGCCAAGGCAGCCAAGAGCCCTGCACACCTTGCCCTCCAAGGAGATGGGAAAAGGCAGAGGACAAGCTGTGCACCCAGATAGCTTAACAGCTTGTCGGACTCTGTGCAAGCTACTGGCCATGTCCCCAAAGCTGCTTGCTCCAGGTGCCACACAAAAGAGCTTGCAGGAGCTCAGTCAGACCAGGGGCTTCAAGAGCAGTTGGAGGAGATGGAGACTGCTGTAGTTTCACCTGTCTGCTCAGGCAAGAGATTTTTGGGCCTGGAGAAGGGGGCAGGCTGTGTTGCTGACTTGAGTAGTCAGGTCAGGAGGATAGCAAGTATGGGTGGTGCTGTGGAGGGTCATGTAGTTGCCAGGATGGTCCCCTGCTGTAGTGCCAAGGAATGGGAAAGTTGTGAGGTGGAATTGTGAAGCATAGGGAAGATGGGGCAGGACTGTATCCTCAGTCAGCCTTCCACCAGGGAGTCCCAGACTGAAAGCAGAGCGCCAGGCTGGGTGGATGTTCCAGTTGCTCTCTGCCTTCTCCAGGAGCCTGCCCAACTCAGGGCAGTGGTGAGGAACTGGCAAATACTTCTCACATTTGAAGTTGTACTGTTACCCTAGCTGGCCAAAAGTCTGGATGACTGGTGCAGAGGAAGGGGTAGTGGAGGACTCCTTCCTAGCCTTCATTCCTTCCAGTGAGAGACATCAAGGGTTGGTGTGGTTTGTGCCTCACTCACACAATGATGAGAACACGGTCCTGGATCTTCTGCAGGAGCTTCACACACTGCTCCACTGTGAAGAACTCTCGACTCTGCTGCAGGTGCAAAGAGAGGGAAAGTTTCAAAGGTCAGGGACAGCAGTTGGGGGCAGGGGCCTCTCCAAGCCCTCCTGCAAAAGTGGTTCTGAAGGTAGAAGTAGCTGAAGCTTCCATGCTGGGACATGACAAGCATCCAGGCTGCACAAAGAAGTAGCTGGCTATGCAAAGGCTCCTTCTGTCCAGCTGTGTTTCAGGGCTGCCAACAACATTGCCTGCTGAGCTGCAGCACATATGGGAATGATCTCATGGAGAAAAGCTTTAAAAATCCTTTTACTAAAAAGGAGAGAGTACATTACCCTGGCTTCCATATCCTGGCAGTAGCACAGGTAGAGGAAGCCCTATTTGCTCAAAAGTGGCACAAAACTATCAAAATACCAAACCTAAGGACTTTGCTCCACTCCCCTTCTTATTCAGGTCACCTGACAAAGAAGCTGACAGAAAGCACCCATCCATCTGCTGCCTGAAGAGTTATAACAGCAGGAAAATGTGGCCAGGAGGCCCTGGGGCAGAGGAACTTCTAAAAAAAACAAATGGTAACATTTTCCAGTGACTCTGTAAGCTGAATCCATGATCAAGTGCAGACTCTTTTAAAAAAGCATCGTTTAAAGGACACATGGGAATTAAGAAAGCAAAAAGTAAGTGGCTGGGTGGAGGCAGGGCCTAGCTCAGTGAGCAGGCATCCTCTGTTTAGATGTTCTGTAAGCTCAGGGCTCCAAAGTAGCAAGGGGGTACATCAGAAGAGCAGTGCTCACCGTACGGGCTCTCATGTCTCTGTTATACACCAGCCCTGGAAAGAAAAAACAAAATGTTTTCATGTTTCATAGGAGCAGGAGTTCTGTTTTAATTTGCTTCTGGGGTCTGCCCAAGACTTTGAGATGCGAGGAATAGGACTGATACAGATTTCTCCTTTTTTAAATTTCTTTTGTTTAGCTGTTCTAGGATTTGAACACCAAACCCACTTGCTGGGAATGGAGAACTCTGCCTTCAGACTTAATTGATCCCATTCAGGCTGTGTAAATCTGTAGCTAGGGCACCCTGTACCCTGCAGAAGACAATGGCTGTTGGCACCAGTCCCTTCCCACACCCAGCAGTGGCCCAGCATCACACAGCCCCTTACCAGCGGGTGTCTCAGTTGCTCCTCGCTGCAGCAGGATTGCCCCACCCTCTGCTGTCAGATGTCTGTTTGCTTCTAAAAGCCTGAGGGAGACATGGCAGAGAGATTGTGATGCTGGGAAAAGGGAGGACGTGAAGCAAAAATGGCATGACAAGGCGCCAGTGAGCTCTCAAGCTGCTTCAGAAAGAAGCGGGAAGAAGCATCAGCTTCTGGCAGCAGAAGCAAAAGGTCTTGCTGGGATTCCAGAAGAGGACTTGAAAGGTGAAATGCAGGGACAGTTTTCCTTACTCATTTGTGCAGCTGTAACTCTGTTGAGGTGAGGGCAGGCAGTAAATAAAGAGGATGGATGGAAACCCACCTCTGCAGTGCTGCTTCAGGGCTCCGTGCTTGGGGAGTTTGCTGCTTTGCTTCCAGACTCAGTAGTGTGTCAATCACCTTCCGTTTTGATTTCAGCCATTCCTCAGTGTCCTGAAACACAGAGAGGTAGGGAAGAGGAGTAACCCTCTCTTCTGAATGCTTTTCCCCCTTATTGGAGAGTACAAGAGGGAATTTCACCCTTCAACATCCCTCAGAAGTGGTACCAGTTATGGGTATCTTATTAAAAATGTCCATTTCTGGGAGAAAGGGAACATCAATACTGCTGTAATGAACTTAATAATTTTTTATCCTTGCTATCTCTTCTAACCCTTCCTACCTCACTTCCGAGTTGAGGACAACTCTCCTCTGGTATTTTTTGTCTCTAACCTATGGCTTCTGTCCCACTACTGCCAACAAAAGCTCCAGTACCTGGTAGCAATGATGGCGAGTTGGAAATGTAGCTTTACGAGCTGCCAGGAACAGAAAAAGAAATCCACCAATCTTGTACCCAGGTCATCCAACAAGCTGTTGGCAAAAAGATAACCTCAGCTGGCAGTTGCCTGGACAGAGGTTCCAGTTTCCTTTGTACAAGGGCTTGGCACAGACAAGCAAATTTCAGTGCTAAGGGACTACAAGATGTGGATCTCTACCAAGTGTGCCCCAAGGGCCACCCTAAGGACAGACTTCAGTCTGTGCAACAAGGGACTTGTGTGACCTGCCAGGAAGTGGTCACATCAGTGCTTTCTCTGAACAAGTGAGGGAAAGAAAAAAAGCATATATTTTTGTATTTTTAAAAAGTGAAGGGAAGGACACATGAGATCTAACCTCTGGAGCTAGAAGAAAGCCAAGACTTTCCAGCAGGATCAGCTTGTCCACCATCTCAGGATAAAGGAAACAGAACTGAGGAGAGATGAAACAATAACAGAACGAAAAGCTGAGCACCAAGTGATGTCTTTATCCTACTGTATAGGAGAGGGGTCAGGGAAGAGCCTCTCCTCCCCTGAGATCCAGGTCTGTCCCTTCATTCCTATCCCATTTGTTGTTGCAGCTGCAGAAATCACAACCCCATGAAGAAATTATGCTTTACTCACCATTCCTGCCACAGCCCCACCTGCAAAGGAGAAAAGGGTGCTCAGTAATGCACAGAACAGCCCCTGGTAACAGAAATTCACCTTCCCCACAGCGGGAGGTGCCTCAGAAATAAAAACGTGCATTGTATCATGGGATAAAACCCCAGCATAGAGGAGAGCTCTCCCAGCCCGCAACAGGCAGGGAGAGACCAGGGCTGCTGACTTGCTGTATTCCCCAATTTGAGCCATTCCCACATCCCACAAGCAGCAAAGGCCAAGGAGGAGTTCTGTTTAAAATGCCTTGGTGTGCAGGTCCTGTTAGCTGGTGACCAGAGCAGCCCTGGGGAGCAAACTCCAAATTGTGGCAAAATCAAATCATACTCCAGACTCAAAGGGATGGATCCTGGAGTCCAGTTCCCCTCAGCCAGCTTTATAGCCCACCAAATGGGCTGTCTGTTTCCAGGCTTTGTGGGGACCAGGGAGGAAGGCCTACTGTGAATTCTCCCGTGACCACGCCTTTTTGCCAATCTTTGTTCCCTCCCGTGACTGGGGGAAATGCTCACAGCAAGAGTTACCACTGTCCATACTACAGGATCTTGAAAACAGGCATTTCAAACACGGGCACAGATTTTTGAATTGCTCATGCAGGAACCTCGTACTTGGCATAATATAATAAATATTCCAACCCAGCTCCTAGCAGCATGCCTTAGAAGTTAATTATCTACTGATTTCTGTTAGTCTCACCACTTGCAAGGACTGGAGACACTTACCCATACTGTGACCCATGAGGGTGAACCGTCTCCACTGCAAGGCTAAATGGCAACAGAGAAAAGCAGATAGTGCTACATTAGAAACCAGAGCAGCAACATCTTACTGCTACTCCACTGACAGGGGCCCTTTCTCCCAGGAGGGCTTTTGCACTGCTACATTCTCTTCTTAATCCAGAAACTAAGCAGCTAAGTAGGCCGGTTTTGAAGAAAAAGAGCATTCACCACCTCATTTCCGTGGTAGTTAAGTCATTCAGCTCTCAAGCTCTCTCTGTATGTCAAACAAACTCCAGCAAAGTTCCATTCACTGCCAGACCTGAGACTGGCAAGAAGCAGAAGAGGCTGACTGGGTAGCATCTGGTGGAAGAGAGAAACCTTGACAGAGCATCCTGCTGCAGGGCATTCTGCAAGACGTGTGAGGACACAGAGCCAGGTCTGCTGCACTGAGGGAAGTATGATTCCAAGTGAAAGCTTTCTGCACCATTTAGCACATCAGGCTCTTCAGTCCATTTTTAGGGCACTCTGGGAGGCTTACAGGAAAATACAGCTTTATCAGTGCTGCCCATCTGAAATATACCTCACTGAAAGATGGGAACATCTGAGAGCTTCTAGATGCTCTTTTGTGTACTGAAGGGGAGATGTAAAACCTCACATGCCAAGTATACAAATGGACAGTTACATCAGGAGTTATTACAAGACACTTTGACTTTCAGATTTCTCAGTATGATACTAAAGCAAGTAGCAAACTGCCATCAGGGAGAACCAGAAGTTTCCAACTTCGTCCTAACACTGGTTAGGGGGTCACTGACTACTTACAAAAAGCCAGTCTGGCAAAACTATTTAGTTACATCTCCCACTTTACCACTACTACTTTTTTTTAGTATAGAAACACTACAGAAACACCCAGGGCTTACAGCTTCTTCCTTTCCCAAAACAGTGAGAAAAGGGGGATGCTTATTCAGTCACAAAGCACTGGCTTACATCAAACTGAGAAGCAGGGGGAACCAATTCCTTTCCTGGCAGTAAGTGCTGCTTGCTTGTTGGAAGGAGCAGGACCAATACAGCACCCCCTCGAGGGTTCCTTCAACTACCCACCTGCTGCCACCCGGCGCACATCCGTCACATAATCTAGGAAATGGTAGGGGCAGCCTGCAGGTCGGTGGGATGACAAACCATGGCCAGAAAAATCCATTGCAACATAATAACAACCTGAAAGGGAAAGAGTATCAGATGTGCAGCCTGGTCGCACAACACAAGCCATCTTGATGAGCCAGACCTACCTCTGGGGAGCAATGGAATGAGCTTGTCAAAGGTGTTGGCATTGTCCAACCAGCCATGCAGACACAGCACAGGGTGCCCCTCCGAGGGTCCCCAGGCCTTGGCTGCCACATGTCCCCAGGGCACAGGGAACTTCAGCTCTGAGAACATGCCCAAAACAGGGTGATGTCCTTGGAGAGTCACGTAGTTGGAGCAGGTCCCAGGGGTCTTGTTAATGGTCTAGAGCTCTGAAAAGAGTAATACAGGTCTTTAGTAACTCACCAGTCTCCTGTGGTCTTAATTAGCAGCTTGCTGATTTATAGCTCCCCATTCAACATCCCAAGCTGCCTGTTTGGGGAATCCTCCTCCCAGCACGTACTAGCTATGCTCCTAGGAAGAAATAAGGTTTCCCTATGCAGGAGGAGAAAGCCTTCTCTGTCTCTGCAGCAGCTGCAACTCAACCAGAAGGCGCAGGAGATCTGGCAAGAGGGAACCATGTAAAATTCCCCTAGCTAGCTGCAGTCAGACATGCACCTATCCTGTACCAAAAAGACAGTTTGAGGAATAAAGATGCTGCTTCCAGCATTAGACTGTTACCACCTTGTCCCCTTTTACCTTGGTGCTTCTCTTTTGCACAATTGGTTGGCACATTTGCGAGAGCAGCTGGCTCTGTGCTGCACAGCAGGTCACGGCTGCCACCCGCCTGTGCACCCCCCAGGGCCAGGGGTCTTGGCATGTGATACAGAGCCACACCTACCAGGCACTTGCTCGACCTCAAACCATTTCATCCACCTGGCAATCACAGACCCTTGCTCGAGCGCCAGCTCCTGAATGAACCCAGCCTCTGGCAACCCTCCAATGGTGGTTTAAACATTTCCCTTTTATCCCCAAGCCACGGGAAACCCGACTATCCCTATCTCCGTCTCTCATGTCATATCCCCTTCCAAGTGACTTATCCTGTGTATCTGCTCCCTTAAATAGCCCTCTAAGACCACACAGCAATTAAATCACAATACAGCAAGTCCCTCCTGAGCCCATACCTCTCTAGGGAGTGAGGACAGAGGGGGTAGGCTGCTGTCAGGGCCCTGATGGTCCCAATCAGCCAAGCCTGGGGCTCCCCCGAGTGTGTTTAAGCTCGGCCCAGGACCAGCCGCAGCAGGGCTGCCGGAGTGCCGGTCTCCATCAGCAACGCCGTCGCCCCAGGAACCGTGGCCCTGCCTGCTGATCACGGGGCTGTGTCTGATCACAGCTGCCCTCGCTGGGCCAGATCTTGACAAACAACCGTGGGCTGACTTTCCATGGTGTGACCATGGACCTGCCCTATCCTGAGGGCCTGGGCTCCTGACATAGCCTGATAGGCCTCCCCAGTCAGTCCTTCCTGGGCCCAGCGGGGCTCCGGCCCTGGGGTCCCCCGGGCCTGGGGTGAGGCCTCCCCGGGCGGGCAGGAAGCGCCGCTACACCCGCCCTGAAGCGCCTGCTCCCGGTCCTGCTCCCGGCTCCGGGGAAGGGCTGCCCGGGGACCGACCCCCGCCCGACGCCGAGAGCAGCCCCCGGAGCGCCACGGCCGACCCGGCCCCGTCTCCCCTCACCTCCCTCCCGTAGCGCCCCGGCCCCCTCCTACCGCTCCGTGCGGCCGGGCCGGCTGAGCAGAGGCGGTGGCAGGGCGGGCCGGGCCGGCTGCACCGCCCCGCTGCCCGCCTCCCTGGGGCGCCCGGCCTCCGCCCCCGCCTCTGTCTGCTTCGGGCTCAGTAAGAAGAACGGGAGCTTAACGATGGCTGTGGGGTCTGGAGCTGCGAACAACCTCCTGGGCATGATGGGAATCTCTGAGGGGTCGAAATCAAGGAGGTATGGCTGCATCCTTGACTACCTCCACAAGACACATTACTGATGATGGAAACTGCCTGTACTGTGGTGACACAGTGTGACATGTTTTAACTGTGACCCAGGAGCTTCATATTGACATCAAACAGGCCCAGTGCTTGACACTAACACTGCACTTCTGTCACTCTTTGATAGAGAGACTCTTCTGAACTCCTAACACTTGCTGAAATCATGTTGCTTCAGGGACAAGAGTCACCCTCCCATACTGTGACCCATCACAGTGAACTGACTCTATTACAGGGCCATGCTGCCACAGATACACAGCAGACAGCACTCCCTTAGCCGCTCCACTCCTCTTCTGCGAAAACAAACCCCTCTCATATGGAGAGGTTTCTATACAGTTTGCCTCATTAACTGCCTAAAAAGGTGATGTCCGCACAGACCAAGTTTCAAGGAAGCAAATACCCGAGTATGGGTGCTTGCTGGCGCCTCTCATTCCGTCCAGCAGTCAGTCTGCTAGGCCTAATGCAGACCACAACCATTCCTCTTCAGTCAAGGACTCTGCGGTCAAAGGAGGCAAAGTCAAATCACACTGTGAGCAGGGGGACCCCTTGCTGGAACAGTTGAAGGAAGAAGAATGAATGTATGTTCTTAGGGAATAATTTTTATATTGGTAACTGAAAGCCCTATGCTCAGTTCAGTACATCAGTCTCCTAAATTACACAATATATTTTCAGAACAGCCTAAAAAGCTTGAAAGAAACCAGTGTAGAAGCTTAGGGGTCTATTTCTCTTGCCTAGCTCTGACTCATCCTGGCAAAATGGGCTCTGCACCACGGCAGTTGAAACGTAACCTTGGGGACCCATCACTGAGAGGAAACAGGAGAGCTGTGTAGCTTGCAGCCTCCTCTCCATGTGAGCCATTAGAAAGGAAATCAGAACATGAATTTTTACAAGGTTGCAAAGTGTCCAGAGCCTTGCTTTTTCTTAGGCCTCCATACTGGAGGAGCAGGAAGACAGACTACAAGGACTGAGGAGCCTTGCAGAAGGAGAGAGGCCACAGTAACTTCTACAGCTTCTCTCTTAAACTGTCAGAGGTGGGTGGCTGATTACAAAAGTCAAAAAGCAAGAGACAGCTTGGCAGAACAGATTTGTAAAATGCACTCCATAATAATGATCAGTAATCAAATAGCTGCTGCTTCTAACTGAAGGAAGGGCCCTCTTGTGAATTCCTGGAATTCTTCCTCAACAAGCCACCAGACGGCAGTGTAATTGTTAGGCAGCCTGGCTGCTGCTAGGCTTGTGGTTCTTCAGTCTATGGCATGACTTTTGAGGAAGAGGACCCTGTGCCATGAGAAGTTATGTGGCCTGTTGGCACACACTCCAGTGGTTGGTGGGACAACAGGTCATGGCCAGGAAAATCCATTGCCACTCATGAGCCAGACCCACTTCTATGGAGCAGTGAAATGAGCCCACTGAAGGTGGTGGCATAGTCCAGCCAGCCATGAAAGCCCGCCACAGATTATCCCCAGGCCTTGGCTACCACCTGTGCTTGGGGCACGGGGGACTTCACCTCCAGGAATTTGTACCCACCAGCAACATCCTCTGAGAGCTACATGCTGCAGCTGGTTCCACAGAGCTTGTTGCAAGGCAGAAGCTCTGGACAGACCTTGGAGGTAGGTGGTAGTTACCCAAGTTGTTTACCTGTCAGCCCTGACTTCTACCTAATACCAGTTATTGGGCACAAACCTTGTTTGGGATAATTCTGGGATCTGTAATTAAGCTGTAAATGTTTGCCCTGGTGGTATATGCATCACCACCCCGAGGTCTTGGACCACCATACTGGGCTCTCTCCCCCATTCCAGCAGCCAGTAGGATCTGGGCTCTCGTTGCTTTGGGTCACAGAGATTATTCTGGGACTCAGATGGGAATAATGCATTCTCTAATGATGTTGGACTCCTATGACCTGCATCCTAAATCTCTTCTGGTAAGAGGCTCCATCAGTAGCTGCCTGAAGAGAACAGAAAAATTCCTCACAGAAATGATTTGGAATAGGTGATTTCAGATAGTCCAAGTGGAGAAGACTGCACTGGGCTGTGCTCTGTACCCTCCCCTCAGCAGCAGGACTGTCACCCTGTTAGCCGAAGCCAGATTGTTGAGCTCCTCCAGGTCCCTCATACCTTCTCTAGCAATGCTACTCACCCCTCTAAAAGAGCAGCACAACACTTTATAAGACTGCATATCTCCTCCAGCACAGCTTGGAAAACCTCCCAAGGGGAGGGCCCTATGCAGGATGCACAGCAGAATTCAGATGGCTCACAGAATTTATTTGGCTGCATCTGCTTCTAGTAAGTGCCACAGGCCACTGCAGTGGGATTGCTGCTCATGGAGGACCAAACTAGACTCTGCCTGGAAAGGTGCTGAGGCGTTGGCTGGGCTACACTGGAACTGGTGGTAAGAAAGGCTGGTTTTGAATAAAGAACTGTGAGTTACTGTGATATATCCCATGTGCTTAGTAAAAGGTTAATTTAATCACTGTGTCCTTGCAAAGTAGCAGGAGACCTGCAGGGGTGAACACTGGGACATGCAAACTTGTCATGCTCCGCTGACTTGGAACAGCATTGATCAGTTTGTGCTAGCTGCAGATCTGGTGAGGAAACTTTAAGTACAGCAGATTGATTGCTACCAGGGGACAAATTCCCCATAGCTGGTTGGATTCAAGCACTGAAGTACTGACATATTGATCTATTTATGTTGATTTATTAGTAATAATCCTGTACCCCAATTTCTTTTCTGCAGTTATACAAATAAAAATAATAAAAAAAAGCATGCTATTTCTAGCTTAACTGATTTCTTTCAGAGGATATATAGAGGACACACCTCTATATAAAGCCCCATATTGTGAGCATATGCTGCAATCTATAGTAGACAGGAAAAGTGATCACAGGCAAGCATGTTATCATGCAAGCAGCTCCAACATGCTGGCTCACTGCAGTTAGTTTAAGCTCCATCTACAAATCTTTCTTGCTTTGGAGATGGTCCCACATAATCTCAAAAGTTTAAATGAGCTCCCCAGGTGGGAAGAGTTGGGGTGGGATATTATCCCATTATCTCTGTGCTCTGCTTAACAGCAACAGACTCATCCAGGTACCTTGTTTGGTGCACTTTTTCTTTGGTTTTCCCTAATTACTTGTTGAATTTAATTTATGTGAATATCTGATTGAAAAAGTTGCTTACTTGTTAAGTGCAAAAAAAATTCTGTGATGGCTTAAATTGTTTTCTCCCCCTTGCTCCAGACCTGTTACGCCCCTCATTTATTGGCATCATGCTGTAACCAACTGAGCTAAACTCAGTTGTTCCAGAGCTCTCCAGCTGTGCAGACGGTGGGAGAGACAAAGAGATGCTGGCTCTTTACCCATCGCAGTCTGAGGCCTATATGATAATTTAAATGGAAATCTTTGTTTTAAGCCAAGCAATGAGTGGTTGAAAAAGTGGAGTGCATCTACTTCAGGGATTAACCTGCAGCATAATTTGGATAGTGGGGCTGCTGGGGTGTTAAATCATTCCCACATGAACCGTCACCATTCAGCTGGAAGCAGCCCCAGGCACACACCATGCATCAGGTCCAAGTGGTGCACATTTGTATCACTTTATTTGAAACTAATGAAATAGCTAGAAACATTTATTGCATATAAATTATATATGAGCACCCATCATACAAATAAACTCTTTCCAGTCTCAGCTTTCCATTTCCTCCTCAATCAGAAAGTCTGTTATATTTGGGACAGATTCAGGAGTCTCTGCTGGTTCTCATCCCCTGGGCCTGTTTAGATTAACTTGTGAGGTGAGCTACTCTCCATATCTCTACAAAACCCATACCCACCTTTACAGCATGAACCTATTTTAATGTATGAAGTGGCAGGGGAAGAAGTTTCTCTCCAGCTCTTGTCCAGACTTAACCATCTTTCACTTGGAAAATCTGGCAGATTCCACATAGGCTGAAATGAAACAAAATAATAGTGAAAACCATAAGTAATCTGACACTTGTAATTACAGGCCAACCAGCTCCTTGTTGACCTCAGACAGAAGAAATAGCACATACCAGGATCATTTAAAAACAAGGGAAAAGTTCTAGTTAACACTAAGTCTCATGTGTTTATGGAAAAGAATCTATAAAACTGCTTGGGAACTTTTGGAGATATAAGTTATAGATTTGGGTTATGGATTTGTCTGACAAACATAAAAGCCGCTGAAGTAATAGCGCTCCAGCAAGGAAACTGATACAGTCTTACACTGTGTTTTGATTTTTAAAATACTGGAATGATACCAAATTAACGAATTTGGTAGTAATCAGACTGAGAATTGATTAGATAGCAGGTGACAAAATATTAAAGTTGATATGAGCGTGTAAGGGGGGTTTTAGAAACAGTCCAGTGGTGAGTTACTCAACCCAACCTACACTTTTGATCGGGCAGCACTGTTTGTGGAAGAAGTGACTCTGGTAGAGGACTGACTCACAGCAGAGCAGCAGTTGAGTGTGAGCTCCCAGTGCAGTCAGAAAGGCTAATTCCATTTTCTGATGTATAAGCAGGGAATGAGGAACAGGTGTAATGAGATTATATTGCAGGAGATTATATTGT